ACCCAACACTGCACTATGCGGCAGACTGGCAGACTAGTTTCAGAATGTGGCCCACAGGTGCGTCCCATGGCCATGCTCTCTTGAAGCGTGTGACTCCGCTACACAATGAAAAAGTGTGCTGTATGTATGTTCCCAGCCCCATCACACGGGGCAGGTCTGTTACTATGGCAAAGAACTCAAAGTGATTATGATGGCTCAAAATCATAAGCAGCTACACTATAGCTTTCCATCCTTCTGGATACTCTTCTTGGGAGTCCCATGATCATACAGATCAGAGGACAAGCAGCTGCATGGAGGAACCGTTCTGGGTTCTTCAGAGCTGATCTCAGACGGCAGCCAGACCTGTGGTCGCTGAGCCTCCAAAAGTGACAACCAGTGGATCCACGATGTTTCCACAAAGCCTGGGTCAAAGTACAGACTTAGAAGCAAAATCAATGTTTTAAGCCACTATTTTTTTTTTTTTTTAGTTGTTGTTCTTATTACACAGATATGAGTAACTAAAGAGCTCTAACTGATTAAACAAGCTATTTTGGTCTCTGACACAAGGAAACCAGAATTGGAGAAAATATGACTGTCCACCTGGAGCAAGGACAACTTAGCAATTACCAAAATGTTCCAGTACTGTTAAAAAAGCAAAACCTTCATAAACATTCTTCAATGGTAATACACTCACACAACAGAAAATATATCATTTTAAAAAGGTCACTAAGTATGAGTATGAAATTCCAAGGGGGAAAAATGTTAACTATCCATAGAAAGAAATCTCATTATATTCCCTGAATAAGAGATTAGAGTCTGCAGACGTGAAAGGGTCACAGAGTGAATACTGTTAAGCTTTCTAGCACCTCTGCATACTGTTTCCTAATTTTCTTATGACCCTTTAACAGACGAAATGCTATTCTTAGATAACTGGTTATTAGAGAAGCCTGCTGCTGCTGGTGTGTGGCTGCTGGTGCAGGTGAGGTGAGATGTTTCAGAGCATCTGAATCAGGAGTGTCTGCACACTGGTCCCGGATGCCTGCCTGCCTGCTGCCTGCCCGCCCGCCCGCCTGCCTGCCTGCCTGCCTGCCTGCCGTCTCTGGCTCCGCTCTGCCCTCCTCTATTCATCGATTCATTCCTTTTTAGTTCAGCTGTTTATTCTCCACCTAGGACCATGCTCACTGGCAG